GGCAGAAGCACATGGCGGGGACTCTACGGGGCCTAACATTTGGGGTCCGAGCTCGGCAGGTTGAGCGGAAGAACAACATCCAGAAGGAGACCTCCCAGCCCCCAGATGCGGAAGCCAGGGACGGGCCTGGTGGGGTCACCGGCTCTTCCTTGAGACGTGCTTCTTGTCATCGCTTTAGGATGCGTGTGCTTCAGAAATAAACAGTGTTCTCTTGGCCTGGAGGAGGCCGTTTGCTCCCCGGGCCTGGGCTTAGCCTTGCCCCAGAAGGAGCTGGAATGTCTTGCCACACAGACAGGCTGTAAGGCAGGCTGAGGCTGTCAGCTCAGGATATATAGTGAGGCCCAGAATCCGCACGCGAAGGTCTCACAGCCATAGGTGAACTCTACCTGCCCCCCCCCCTCCAGCCCTCAGCCCCCAGCTCTGCGGCCCAGACAATTTAAAGTCCCATTCCCAGTCTCCCAGCTGTGTGGTGGGGGGTGGAAACCCAGAGGGCCAACACCGGCCAGGTGAGATCTATGGGGGACACTGGGCCTGGCTAGCTCCAGAGGAACCACGGCTAGATGAGGGTTTCATCGCCCCTCTGACCCCGCCCCCTATTGCTCAGGTCGACCCCTGACCCCTGCAGAGCGGGAGACAGTGGAGGTGAGTCTGAGATGAGGGGGGAGTCAGGGGCTGGCGAGGCTGCCACAGCATCCCGGAAGCCCCTGGGGGGGGCGCCCTCCAGCAGGGACTCTAGGAGGGACTTGACCCCGGGGTGGGTTCACCCGGGCAAGGGTTCCAGCAGGAAGAGCATGCTCTGTGACAGGGGCTACAGGGGGATTGTCAGGCCTGGGGTGCTGCCCAGGAGCCCAAGCGCCTTCATGGAGGGAGTCAGGCTGACCTCTGCGTCCACTGGTCCTGGCTTAGGCAAAGCATAAGTGGGTTCAGGTGGAGGGGTAAGAGGAAGGTAAGGCTGCAGACAGGGTAGCTCCTTCCTCTTCCATCATTGCCTCTAGGCCAGTGTGTGGGTCCTGACTGTGGCCAAGAGGAAGTCCCCAGGGATAGGGTATGTGCAAAGATCAATGTGCTGCCTTAAGACAGCACACCATCCCTTCTTCGGTACTGAGGGGGCCATGGGGGGCCACGGGTCAGGTAAGGAAAAGCTTGGCCTCTGCAGGCCCAGACCTTATGTCCAGAGCATAGCCACAGCATCAGAGCTCTCGACACCCTGCACAGCTGCGTTTCCCCACGTCACCAGGGATGCTGTGTTCTGAATACAGAACGGTATATGTCCCTGTGTCCCAAGGCTAGGTGACAGGAGCGACTGGCCCTATGGACTCTAACCCCCCCTGTGTGGCCAGCCAGAGTACCAACCCAATGTATCAAGCCTGTCCGGGACCCAGCATGCAGTGGGTGAAGGTGCCACCATCAGGCCCCGGGACACTTGGCGACCTTGACATCTGGTTTCCGCCTCGAGGCCTGAACCATCAGCCTGCCCTACCCCATGTGCCTGCTAGTGACTAATGGGGGGACTGGTGGGGTGTAGCTATGCCCAGCTCAGTGGGAGATTCTGGAGGCTCACTCAGTATAGGCACCAAGAGTATGAGCTACCTGAAGTCAAGGCCAACGGCATCAGAGGGGTCATAAGGAGGGAAAGCAGGTAAGGAGTGGAGAAGAGCCACCACCCGGCAGGCCCATTCCTGGCAGCCAGAAGCCGCCATCTGCTGGCTGGGGCTTTGAGCAGCCGTCAAGCGTCAGGGGACTTGGTCACATGGCACCCGAAGCCCCCAAATTAGGGTCCCATCTTCAACCTGATTGTGAGGCCTGAAACCTTCACAGATGGTCCCAGGGCCATGCTCTTTTATGAAAACAAGCAAAGAATTAGCGTGACAAATTCTGGCGTGTCTCTGGAGATAAATGAAGGAAAGATTAAAAGCCACCAAACCCAGACCTCTGAAAAGCTGGCAGATAAGCACAGATTCAGGGTGCCAGTGCATTTTGTTTGCAGGATCTTCTTACCCGCTGAGCTCCTCCCATTACCCATGGTTGCCCGTGGTCTATCCTGTGTTCCCTCTCCATGTTCCAGCTGAGTCCTAGCCCATCACCCCCTCATGTGACTGGAATAGCCCGGTGTGTCAGATGCAGCTTGCTTCTGGGATGCTCCCAAGGCTCCTTTCCTCCCCAGCTTGTTACTGGGGACACAGAGGGCCTTTAAGATCCCAAAACTGCAGCTGTGTGATTTGGAGGCAGGTTCTGTCCTGTCTCGATCCTGCCGGTGTGACCCCAGGACCGTGTGCTCTAGCTTCCGGAAGGGGGGGGGAACGGGACAGGGACGGGGGATGTGGGTGGATCATGACAAGCTGTCTTCACTCTGTCATCCATTCCAGAATGGAACGAGCCAAGGGCTGCCAAGTTCCAGGAAGCCGGATACCCTACAGTGAGCTGTAACACACCCCCAGCCGGTGGCCATCTCTCACAGCTCTCAGTTAATAATGCATCTCCCTCTGAGGCCCTGAGGTGCAGCCCGTCTGCCGAGGTCTCCTAGCAGCGCTGATAGTCAGAAGAGCGGCCATATATCAAGTGGAAAGGCACAAGATCTCAGCCACACATGGATGAGACCTGGGAGGGTCTCTTGAATCAGGACACCTAGCTCTACCTTGAGCCTGGCCCTGCCATAGGACTGGCCTGCTATGAGAAGCCACTCTGCGTTAGGGAACAAGTAAGACAGAGTCCCAGCCCCTGCTCAGGGACCAGAGGGATTTAGAGTGGTGGCTTTCTTTTTCCAGCCCCATGGATGAGCCTGGGGACCTTGCCTCGGCCGGCCGCTTGTTATGCATCCACCTTTCCCTGCCCCAGTGAACCCTCTCGGGGAGAGGCACGCAGAGAGCCTGGCCTTTAATCATACTCTCCATTCCCCGAGGGTCACGACCCCAGTCTGCAGCTGTGTGCAATCTGGTGGTCAGAGAGGCACTTGGCAGAGCTCCTCATGCCTGTCCACAGGCCCAGAGGAAGGACAGAAATAGGAATCCCTGTGGGACCCATGTGGCTTCTCAGGGGCAGCCAGTGGCCTTGTCTTCTTGTCTGGGAAGACACAGGGCACAGGTCCTGACCTCCACGAGGCCCTGGCTGCTGCACACACACTAAGGATGGGTTGAAGTGGCTCTCTGCTGCTCTTGGGAGTATTGAAAGCTACAACCCTGGGCCAAGGGGACTCGCAGGGGACGGCTGAGCACGAGGCCTGCTCCCTGAGGGCTGGAGACTCGGCTGGGCTCTTGCTGATCTATTCCAAACATAATGAAAAGCAGCTGTAACAGCCGGCCATGCTCTAGTGAGAAGGGCAGACACACATATCCAGGCCCAGAGGAGGTCATACCATGACGGTGCTAGACCTGTCTGTGTGCCTGTGTGGGCATGTGTGTGTACATGTGTGTGTGTATGTGCCTGTGTGTGTGTGTGCGCGTGCGTGTGTGTGTGCCTGTGTGTGTGTGAGTGTGTGCATATGTGTGTGTGCGTGTGTGTGTACATGTGTGTGTGCGTGCGTGTGTGTGAGTGTGTGTGAGTGTGTGCATATGTGTGTGTGCGTGTGTGTTTGAGTGTGTGTGTGCATGTGTGCGTGCATGTGTGTGCATGTGTGTGTGCCTGTGTGCGCCTGTGTGTGTACATGTGTGTGTGTGCATGCGTGTGTGTGTGCCTGTGTGTGTGTGCCTGTGTGTGTGCATGTGTGTGTGTGCCTCTGTGTGTGTGTGTGTGTGTGCATGCGTGTGTGTGTGCCTGTGTGTGTGCATGTGTGTGTGTGCATGCGTGTGTGTGTGCCTGTGTGTGTGCATGTGTGTGTGTGCCTCTGTGTGTGTGTGTGCATGTGTGCGTGTGTGTGTGTGTGTGTGTGTGTAATGGGGTACACTGGTCTTGAGCCAGTCCTGGGTGTCCTCTCTTATCCACAGTTCTCGGTCTGTTCTACATCACAGTGTCCAGGGAACGAAACCCTCGGTCCAACCGGCTCCCTTGTGTGAGTGAGCCGTATCTCAGCCGCCATCCTGGCTGGCAGGCGCGTTTCCACACTCTGCCTGGGCTCAGGATGCACAGGGAGGTGTGGCCTAGATGAAGAAGGGCTGCCCTACCCCGCCAGCCAGACTTGTGTTCCACTCTGACAAATCTGGGAGTTAGAAAGGGGCCCAGATGTGGCCCTCACACCAACCGGGTAAGTGTTGGGCACGGTGACCAGGAACTGTGGCCAACAGTGACATACAAGTCCCCTCTTGTCTAAATAAAGGGGCATCAGGTGCTTCTTTGGATCCTGGGCAGGAAAAGTCCTGAGGGCTGCACAGGTAGATAACCCACCATACCCCGGGGTCTTCCCAGAGCCCGTGAATTACACCTGCTCAGTGCCCCCTAACCCTCCTGGACTGTGGGGAGGAAGTGGAGGAAATCCCCAAACAGCCCTACACCACTGCCTGGCGACACTGTCTGGCCAGGTGGAGGGAGGCCCCCACAGCCCAAGGGGGGAGTAAGGGGAGCTCTCCTAAAGGAAAAGAATCCACTGCATCCAAGACAGTGGCAGAGGTCTCTGAGTGGGACCGAGTCACACAGTGCGACAGAGGCCTCTGAGTTTGGTGTAACATTTATTGGAGTTGTGATCTGGAAGCCTGGCCAGCACAGAGACCCTGGTGCGCCCAGCTCTGGCTTTGCAACCATGGAGATCCCTCTAATGACCACGTCCCGCTATGACACCTTCTCTCACAGATAAGACAAGAACCCTCTGCTTCAGGGCTAATGTTGGCTCCTGGTTCCCTCGGACACTTCCACCGTGAGAGACCTAGGAGATTACAGCCCAACTCAGGGCCTTACCTCTAGGCTAAAGTCAGAGCTGGCTCCGCCCCTCTTACAGGTGAGTAGGCAAAGAAGAGTTAAGTAAGGGCCAGGGACTTCCCTGCCCAGAACTGGCCCAAGGCTAATGGTGCTGGATGCAACCAAGCTACCTTCAAGGCTGGCTGGCACAGATAGGGCTGCTGTGTGGCTCTTGACTACACCACAAACTCCCGCGGGGGGCGACTCTTCAGCAGGCCTCTAGGGGGCACCAGCAGCCCTGCCCCCGGTGTAGTCAGAAGGTTCTGGGAAGACTGGTGCAGGCACACGGTGTCCAGGCTGTGGAGATACTGGTCACCCCCGTGGTTGGCCTCTGCCTCCCCAACCTACAGAGAGATTTAGCAGCGTGGTAGTTCTCACCTGCCTACTGGTGCTTTGGGGTTTTTGTTTTTGTTTTTGTTTTGTGCTGCTATAGCTCCAGGACCCCAGCTCGACCCAGATCATTCTAAGTCTAGCATAGCCAGGACCCGATAGGCCTTCCTGTTGGTTTCTCTGTCTGCCTCGTCCTCTGACCACCCAGCTGCACACCCCACCCCACCTTAGTCTCCCTGATAACACCAGATCCTTTAATGGTGCCCCAGGCTGGTGCGTTCCAGCAGGACGCTCCATGCCACGGTGTAGGACCCTTAGGGTCCACACTGGCCCCTAGCCGGAGATGCTGACCAGCCCGGGCTCCTTTCCCTGTGGTTGCCTTTCTGAACGTGAAGCCTCAATACTGTATGTCTTTCAGGAATGGCTCTGGATATGGTCATCACACACCAGCCCTGGAAGCACCTGAGATTCCAAGAGCGGCCATCTCTCAGTTAAGCACACGGGTCTCCTGACTATGTGGGTCCCATCAGCTGAGAGTAGCCTCCACACTTCAGTGATGCTCAAAGTCACGCCTTTCAGCCACGACGGGCCGTTGGATCTGTCTGGAGGGCCCTGACACAGGGCAGAGTTTAGAGAGCTATGCATAGGGTCTGTTGTCTGCGGGACTCTTGGAAGTGCATTTCAGACTCTGCCCTTCAGAGTAGAGCCTCTAGCAGAGAGCCAGAGGTCGGTGAGAGGTGGGTATGTACAGCCACTAGAGGGGTCTGCACTGCCCTGGAAATCCAGGTGGGCAGGGGGCAGGAGCCACGAGGAGTCCTTACCTGGGGCACAGCCTCAGTTCTCGGGGCCCAATGTCCTGATCAGCATGTCTCAAACTCCTGTGAGGGGCTCTGGGGACACTGATAAAAAGAGGTAGAGAAAGAGACGGGGAAGAGTCAGCAGGGTCGAGGAAGAACATAGCCCACACTCAACTGCTGTGGCCCATCCTGCCCTGGGCTCTTTTCTGCCATAACTCTGAGGTAGGAACCAAATGCCTGTCCTCACAGGACTGCCCATCTAACTGTCAGCAGGGAAGGCACATGCTGTCTGTGATTTCACACACACACACACACACACACACACACACACACACACACAGGAGTGCAGAATCCCAGATGAGCCCATGATGTCTGGGCTCCTTCTGACACACGTGACATCACGTCCTCCCTAGAGTGACTACGGTCAGGGTTAGGAGGGGCAGAGGCTGCTGTTGATGGAAGCTGAGCAGCCCCCTGCAGAGCTGGGAACGACACCTTTTCAATGGCCAGGGAACGATCGATCACATTCATGTGATTTCATGTGTGGGCTGATCTGCTGGACTGACCTCGACGTCAGAGACCAACACCAGCTGCCCTTTGCTTGGACAAGACTCTGAGAATGTGACTGCAGACTGTTAGTGACAGGTCTGCCTGACCCCGAGTATGAGTTACCATGCAGCCATGAGTGGCCATTTTAACCTGCACCCAGATTAGCACTGGCCAGCTCAGGCTCATGCCACCGGGTCCTACGGCTCACCTCTGCAGTCAGTGCATGTGTCCTGGCTGCTGAAGCTGCTCCAGGGACTCCTGGATGGTGTTGTCCCCCAGAGCCTCTCGGTCCCTGTAGGCCCATCCACGCACATCTCGCGCTCCCCATGCAGGGAGTTGAGCCTGATGCCTACTGTGTGGGAGCTGCCATGGCCCTCGGAGTAGAGGGAGGGAAGGGATCGTTGTCTGCTGTCCATACTGTCCTCGTTGTCCAGGAAATTCCTGCTGCCTGGGTTCAGGTCCAGCTCCAGTGGGTCACTGATGTAGGATTCCCGGTAGCATTTCTTCTCTGTGTGGAGAACAACATAAGAGCCGGTGTTGGAGGAAGGCTAAGTACCTCCTGGAGCCAGCGCTGCGCAGAGCCTCACAACCTGGGGATGCATCAGAGCCTAGGCATGGCAGCAGAGCTTATGTCTGTGGGTAAAGCATTGTCCTCAGAGGGGAGGGGGTGGGCCCTGCACGCCCATGGTGACAGCTGCACAACCGTGAATAGAACTTGTCACCAGCAGCTTCCTAGCATCCTCTTGTGATGCTAGGACACCCTGTCTCCTAGCCACATCCTGAGCAGCCCTGGTGCTCTGTTACCCAGGACAGATGACATCTGCTGGTCCTGAGGATGCACTGATATGGCATCTGCACCCAGCATTCTCAGCTGCCTTCCTCCTAACACGGGCACAGAGGTGTACACACACACGCACACACACACGCACACACACACACACATGTGTGTGTGCACGTGTGTGCGTGCGTGTGTGTGTGTGTGTGTGTGTGCGTGTGTGTCTCAAGGGCTGATTTGCTATACCTCAGACCCTAGAGAGGATGTATGATGTGTGGCCATCAGCTAGCTAGGGGCCCAGACCCAGGTGGAGATCACACCCACCCACCTTCTGCCTCCTCCAGCTGTTGTAGCCACTGCAGCACAGGCCGCAGGCTGAGGTGCAGCTGGTGTGTGGTGCGAAGTAGTTGCAGCAGGTAGCGGGAGCGCCAGGTGTAGCCCGTGTAGAACAGCAGCTTCTGCATTGCCAGAAACCCTTCTGGGTGGATTTCCAGCTTCTTCCTCTAGTCAGACAGGAAGGTCGATATGATTTTACAGTTCATAAAACTTTCCCAGCAGCAGGGACAGAAATACCCTGAAGACAGCTACAAGCTGGCCCACACTCCCAATGCAAAGAATTGATGTCCCCGTGGAAATAGGTCACTGTGATTCGGTAACATCTGTCCCCAGCCTTGAAAAGCAGAAGGACCCTGGGGCAGCCCTCCTGTGCATGACCTCCCTGCCTGTGACTGCACACACATCTCAAAATCAGGATTTGCAGTGAACCCCTGGTCGCTGCCCGGAACCAGGCTGCTGTCCAATGACCTCTCTCTGTCATGGCTGTGGGCCCAGAAAGACAGCTTTGGGGACAAGTGAGGAGGATGGAAGCCACATGGTGTGTTGTTAAGATACCACATCCCCTCTGAGCTCGGAAATTGGTGGTGCCCATAGCTCTAGATCTCTCAGAGGCTTTAATGCCAGTATGGCTGTGCCACCAGCGATGGCTGTGAGGACCCACAGGGCTGGGAGATGCCTGAGGGTGTGTGTGGGGGGGGCACAAGAAACTCTGAGAAAAGCTGCAGGCTCTCCGTTCTTTAGGGCTCCTGAGTGTTGTGGATGCCCTCCCTCTTCAGACACCCACCAGAAACGTCACCTTCGCAATACGTGACCAGGGCAAGTCGAAGAGCAGCTGTGGGGCGTGGTCCGCCTCCTGAAAGACAGTAGGGATATGGAGGAAGGTGGAAGCCAGCCAAAACACAAGTTCAGGACCGCGACAGCAGGGGATGCAGGAGGGACGACAACCGAGAACCAGAAGGAACCCTTACCCGGTAGATGCACACTCCTTTCAGAGTGAGCCCCAGGAGGATGGTAGGGTCATCTTCCTTCTTTTCCTAAAAGGGCACGGGTCAGAGGTTAAGGCTCTGGTCCTGGGGCAGGTGGAAGGAGGTCTGTCTAACAGGCTAGGAGCCCCACAGACCAAGAGCTCTGTTTAGGTGCCGCTTGTTATCCTGCGTAAGCCTAAGCCACCCTGCAGCCCGCCCAGGGCACACGCGTGGTATTCTCCCATAGATACTTTCCAAACCATACAGACAAAAGTTCCACCCTTAGAGCCCATGCTGTGCTCAGGCAGTGCATGAGGGGCCACTGTTGGGCCAGACCAGTTATAGCAGAAGCTGAGCAAGCTGGGTTTCATAGAACTCAGACACCAGAGAAACCTAACATGCCACCTCCAGGACAGCTACCAGGTAACTGTGTCCAACACATCACGTGCCAACCAGGTCCTAAGGACAGTCCCACCTACACCGCCTGGAGTCACATTGCCAGACATGGGGGGATGCACCCACACACCCTGCCCTGGGACCATCCCACCCCTGAAACCATGGTGCGACCTTGTACAGCCTGAAGAAGTGGACAGGAACATCCTCCAGCCGGCAGGCCTCCCTGATGAAGCGTAGTATGGCCTCCTTGGGACTCAGGCCCCGCAGCTCACCGTGCATGGCAGGCACATGCCTGAGGATGTAGTCAGCTCCCCTGTCGTTGATAATCTGAGGACAGAGCCACCGGCCAGCTCAGACCCCCACCCCGCCCTTTCTCTGTGCTGATACCCTCTGCCACCTTTGGAGTCCGGGCCAACATCCTAGCCAGAGCCTAGGTTCAGCCGAGGGGGTTGGGCCTTCTGCCTTAGCCTCAGATCAGGCTAAGGTGAGGATGTGATGCCCCTAAATCTTTGGTCCTGATACCCTCTCTTGTGTCACCCAGGTGCCCATAGGGAGCACAGAAACAGCCCTCCTTGGAGGTTTGTGGAACTCATTTCATCCCGAAGGCCACGGCTTCCCAGTCAGGGAACCGTGGCTGAAATAAAAGAGCCGAGGCTCCGACGAAGGGCAGCAGTATGTGTGGGTTCAGGGAGGCCCTGAGAAAAGCTGCCTGGCCTCCAGCCTGGCATTGGAGATGGTTCTGCAGGGCAGGTATGTGAGGGCCAACGCAGGGGAGTGTGGCCGCGGCCCACAGCCCCTGGGACCATTTGCTCAGCATGCAAGTCAAGCTGGAATTTTGCACACAGAGGAGAGGTACCTCCTGCTCACTACCTGTCCTAGGACATAGGTAAGGAAACTGAGGCGCAGGGAGGCTGAGGTCCTTGGGTCTGTTTGTTTTGACAGAGGCTGGATGGGTAACACTGGGCAGCTGGGCAGGCCAAGGGAGTGCAGAGATGTTGGAGCTGGCTGGCTTATGCAGGACTGAAGGTATAGCCTGCTGTGGCTGTGACTCCTACGCCACGTTGCCAGCCTTTGCAGTGAGCACCCTTGGACTTGGGTCCCTCTCTTTCCATGGCCGTGCCCCCCCAGCCCCTCCCCCCTCCCCTTATTCATGGATTGCAGAGTTTTCTCTTGGTGAGCTGAGCTGACATCACCCCTACCCCATGCACCCCAAGGAGGGTGCCACGCAGCCTTACCCACTGTGGGAAGTAGGCGTGTGGCTCGAAGTACTTGCCCACGTGGACCGACTCCTGGTAGTTTCCCAGGTCGGCCTGTAACCCACGGGCAGCCAGCAGAAAGTAGGCCTCCTCTCTGAGTACACACCGGGACCTCAGTACCCGTTCCTTCAAGTGGCAGTAGTATAGGTACCGGGCTGTCTTGTCACTGGATGGCAACAGGGAAGAAGGGACAGGAAGATGAATCCTCCCGTGGCAGCCACCACTGTCCCCACCCTCACCAGGCCCGGCTTCCTGATCCACAGGCCTCTGAGGACTCTTGGTGGCCATTTCCTAGCCTGTTCATACGGGGGCATCTCCTGTTGCAGGGTCCTTAGTAAGACATGGGTGAATTCAGGTGCGTTCAGCTGAGATTCAGGAACAAGTGGGACCATTGGAGATAGCTCCTGAGTGAGGGCATTTGGAATCTCCCGCACAGGGCAAACCCATGCCACAGACTTGCCCCCCAGTCAGTCAGACTGCCTGTGCAATACCGTCAGCTAACCCAGCATCAGTGCATGCCTCCTGAGAACCTCTACTACAACTAGCAACACAGTACGGCTAGTCAACACAGTACAGGGAACCACGCATCAGCCACCATCTACCCCCCCACCCAAGATGTCTCTAGGACTTTCCATATAGCCACACATTCTCACTCTCTAGAACCTTAGAACCTTCTCTGGTTAGCTACGCACACCCTCTTTCTCTAGAGCCTTCTACGGTTGCACACATCTGACTCCAGAATCTTCCACACCCTCATTCACCATTTCTTGGCACCAGAAACCAGATTTGCACTTGCCAAAGGACACCCAAGCCTCACCGATAACCTCACAGAGAGCTGTGCTTGCGGAGTATACACAGTTCTTTGGTGGTCCCTAAAGAGCTCACTGTTTCCTGTCAGGTACTGAGGCAGCCCACTGATGGCAGCAGATCTACCTCCTGGAAATCCAGAACCTTCCGGTTCTCTACTCAGCCTCCCTAGGACCCTCCCTGCCCAAGAAGACTTGGGTGGTGCGGGGGGGGGGGGGGAGGGCACCTGGCAGGAAGCACAGTTCCAATTTAAAGCTCAACTCCGAGACTCCCGTACAGCGCCAGATGGGGATGCCTGCCTCAGAGTGCAGGTGTGCCTGGCTCGGAAGAGGCCACGTCCTCATGACCCTCATGACGGGACCTTCCTTTTTCGGAGAACACTGGGAGGCACTTTGCCCATCTTAGGCGTGCATTTCCCTTCCCACCTAGCGTCTCCGACGGCAGCGCAGTTACCTGATGGCCCTCCCGTTCTCCACGTAGAACTGCACTCTGAAGAAGGTGATAAAGGGCGCCCTGGATATCTTATCCCTCTGTCAGGAGAGAGAGAGAGAGAGAGAGAGAGAGAGAGAGAGAGAGAGAGAGAGAGAGAGAGAGAGAGAGATGCAGGAGCTTGGAAATGAGGCACGCACGCACAGCGAGGGAGCTCCCACAGTCCTGTCTGGGGACATTTCACACTCAGGTCTTAGTGGGGCCGGGCACCAGCTGTTTCATCTTATTTTTCTTTGGAGGGGGGATCCCCAAGTGGGATTGTCGTCAAGGGGTGGGATTGTCCTCAAGGGAAGTTGCAAGCAGGCGTGGGCATGGACGAAAGCGGCAGGGCTTGAGAACCTTGTGAGTAGGGCCTCTTGGCAGACAGGTGACCATGGCGGGCCAGGCACAGCAGCAGCACCCAAACCCTCCCAGTCACTGGCTGCAGTGGTGGCCCTGGCCCTTCCGCCTGCCCTTTGCTTACTTGGTCCGCGTCCATCTTCCAGTCCTTCGAGAAGTATTTACTGAGCTTTTGCTTCAAATCCAGGAACACATACTCGTCGTCGTCTGGAAAAGAGAAGTCGAGGGCAGGGAAGACAAGCTTGATCTCCCTGGGAGTCCCACCAGGCAGGAGCCGAGCCCAGCCTGCCGGAGCTGTGCACCCAGCTGGGGTTAGGTGGGGGAACTTGTGCTGTGTGGGGCGTTTTGTACTTTCTCTCTTCAGTTTTGCTATGAGATTAAAGCCTTTCTAAGAAACAGGGTCCTAGGGCTGGGGCTGTAGCTCTGTGGTAGAGTGCTTGCCTCACTTATGGGAGGCCCTCGGTTCAATCCCCAGCATTGCCAAAATAAACCTTGCCTGCCCTTCATGTGAGTGCACCAGTGTGGTGGACAGTGGTCCCCAAGGGGACTCTTGCCCTGAGGTCCCTGATCAGCGAGGGAAGAAGAGTCTGCTGCTTCCTCTACTCCCTATATCATCCCAGCATCAGGAGAGACCTGGATAGAGCTCTTTAAATCAGAGCCTGTTGCCAGGGCAACCACATGAGGTCAGCAGGGATTCTACAAAACCCAGGCAATCAGGGGCTGCTATACACCCAGGGCTATATCTCTGTGGGAAAACTGTTTCTCTTGCAGGTCCTTTGGGCACGGCAGGCTAAGCGCCCTATGTATAGCCTGGCCCAGGAATGCAGCCACATTTCCAGATTTAATAAAATTCCTAGCTGGCTTCTTACTGTGACCTTGTGGAGGAGAAGGCGCTGGGCCCTACAGCCAGCAGCTCCTCCAAGGCAAGGGCTGACACCACAGTTGACATCACCAACATCACCCCATAGCCTAGCAGGGTGGACAGCTGCCACCCACAGGCATTGGTATCCTGCCTGTAGATTACAGACTTGATGGCCTCAGTCTCCTGAGCTCCATGACCTCTCTCTGACCCTGTTCACTGCATCTCTGGAGACCTTGTGCCAACACAGACTTAGCTTTAGGAGGGCCGTGTTGGTATAGGAGAGAAAACCAGCTACAGGCTTCCCCAAACCAAAGGGGGGGGGGGTAATCAACCCCAGAAGCCTTCCCAACTCTCTCTACAGCCAGAATCACTCTGGGCACAGAGCAAAAGCCTGTTGACCGGGTAAAGTGCCCAGGTCTCCTCCGTTCTCCTCTGAGCCTTGATACTTAAGTACGAAGGGAATGGCTGCTCAAGGCCAGCTCCAAGTAGACAGAGGAGCCAGACATACACGCCTGTCTTCAGGAGTTCTAAGTGCTACAAAACAGAGCCAAGCAGAATGACAACAGCTCTGTCTTTCTCTTGCTTACACTGTCTCGATCTCTTGCAAGCAGAGGGTTCATACCTTGCCTTGTTTCCTCCCGAGGCAGGGTATCACAACCCAGGGCGGACTCACTGTGAATCCCAGGATATCTTCAATGTCATGATCCTCCTGCCTTGCCCCCCAGGTCCTGGGATCACATGCCTCACCACCATGCCTGCATTTTTTGCTGTTGCTACATACCTGAGTCTCAGAAGTGTTGCCAGAATTATAGATCACGGAGTAACGAAAGCAAGGGACCCAAGGTCACGCTCGTAAGAGTCCCAGTCCCCATAGCAAGGGTTCTGGGCACACATTACCCGTGTGCCCATCGTCTCAGAGCTCAGCCAGGAGGAGTGACGTGCTTGGCTCAGCTGGCAGCCTTCTGCCGTCCTCAGGTCCCCGGGTGAGCCCAGAGCCTGTCACCCCTTGTTCAGAGAGAACTTAGTCCATCTCTTAGTTCATCCCACGTCCTTCCTTTGCCCATGTCCTGGCCACCTGTTCCCTGAGTTGCTGAGACATCTCACATGGAAGGAGATGGACGGTTGATTGGTAAGAGTTGGACCCCTCCCGTGAGGAGTGTCCCCTGCTGGGAGAAGGCACAGCCTGAGCAAACATTCGCTCCTACTTACAGCAAGCTGGGGCTACTCCACCTTGCAGGCCCTTACAGGCCGGCCCCTCAGCTAGAATAGACCTGGACTTACAACCCATGGCCTCTTGTGACTGCGCCCTGATTAACCAAGTCCATTTCCTAGGTGTGGTTGCCCAGCTGTCAAAGTCCTAACGTGCTGGACAGCTCTTGGTGTTGACGTTGAGCCTCAGCTAAGAAGACAAAGGTCATAGAACAACACATGGCTTGGTCTTGGTCATACCATGGGCTTTGGCTTTGCACATTAGATACCAGTCACATGCAGCCTGGCATCACAGGATCCCAGACGACTAATGAACTCATGACTTTAAAGGGATCTCCAGGGAAACTGAACTCTGGGTCCCCGCCCAGACGGGCACAGGGCCACCCACTGCAGTTTCTGGAGTCTCCTTCGGTGGGGACAATGCCTGCCACTTCCAAGGGCTTCACCTTACCCTTCCACCTGCTGTTCTAGGCTCTTTGGGGCCCGAGAGAACCAGGCCCAAGGGGCCTGCAGGCAGGACATAGAGTCATGCCCCAGCTGTCTTCTCTAGAGCAGCGTTCTGCTCTAGACCAAAGACCATCTCCCCGCAAGAGGAGCTCCATAGCCAGTGGCTACCACACCCCACGGAGAAGGGAGCTCTGAGTCTCTTCCGCACCGGTGAAATAGCCATGTCAGTGCAGAGACTGCAGTACAGACAACAGGACACGGCAGGCAGAGCTGGATGGAGCTGCTTCCTGCTTCCACAGACAGCATGATGTAGCTGGGGAAGCCTCCCTCCCCCACCCCACTCGGACGAGGCTACCGGACAGGCCTGCCCAAGCTCTCCAGTTCCCCTTCTCTGCTGGGTTGGAGCTCCTCGGTCTTCTGTCCAACTTGGTTCTTACGTCCACGAGCCTATGGATGTACAGGCTCAGCAGTTAAGGGCGCACATTTCTCTTGCACGAGTGAGTGTGCCTGTGAGTGACATGCACCGTGTGTATAATTGTACACATATGTGTAGCATGCAGGTACGGGCACGTGTGTTTGAGTGCCTATGGTAACTGCATGCGGATGAATGTATGAGGGAATACATGGTTTGACGGCGTGTGTGTGAGAATATATGTCACGTGGTATGGCATACAGTGTGTGGTGTGGGTGCCTGTGTCGTGTGTGTGCACGTGTTTGCGTGTGTATGTGTGCACATGTGTGCTGTGTGTATGTGAGTAGTATGTATATTTTGTGGTGCATGTGTACAAGTATGCACGTGTGTGTGTGTGTGTGTGTGTGTGTGTGTGTGTGTGTGTACATAGATACACGCAGACTCTGGACATGATGACCCAACTGGTTTAGCCGCAGGCAGGGTCTATGGCAAAGCAAATACACCTGAACTCCAAGGACCCTGTGTTGGGGATACCAAGCAATGCTTACTTCTGACCACGCTGAGGCCAAAAATGTGGGCTTCTTGAATGTTTGTTATGTAACACACTTGCTGGAAGAGCTCTTGTCCTGTGGCTGTGACCTGGAATAGAAGAAGGACCTAAGATTCAGATACAGAACTTCCCCATAAGACCCGTGGGCTGGCAGGGACACTGAGTCAGGAAGAGAGCAGTCTTATCTGGCCAGGCAGGGAATGGAGCCAGGAACCAGGGCCTGGGCCACCCACTTATTCCCAAAGCACGGATATAAACATTGCTCCCCAAAAAGAACAGCCTGGGGAGTGGAAAGGATATGCTCCCTTTCTTAGAGAGAAGTTTGTGGCTGTGAGAATTTCCCTACAAGCTGAATTTGATTAAAATAACAATAATAATCATCCCCATCAGAGAGGTCTGTAGAGGCCCTGGTTGTAGTTTCTGCAGCTAGCAAGCTCCTGTCCCTGGGGCTGAAGAAGCCTAACTGAGGGTAACACAATGCCGTGCCCATAGGGTAGAGGGGTGGCCTGGTCACACAACGTGATGCCAAGAGTGAAGGAAAGATAGAGAAGAAGCTGCGTGGCCTGGAAAACGGGGTGTGCCCTGTGACGGTTGCAAACTTGATGATGGGGCAGTAGGGACAATGACTCAGAGCGAGGACTCAAGCAGACAGAAGCTAGAGATCTGTCAGGGTCCAGAGTGTGCCAGGGGCAAAGGGCAAGACGGTAGTGCTCAGAACCCTCTGTAGTGGCCGGATTCTTTCTCAAGCAGTCAGCATCCTGGATGATGGGAGGTCAGGGTACTCAGAGGCCTTGCATAATAAACTCAGCCCATGGAAGCCCCGGACAGCATGAGGGACAGGGAAACCCACCACACCAGATACGGAGAGGGAGGGGGAACCAAACAGCCCAGCACCCTGTGGGGACCAGGCAAGCCAAGATGCTAGACACTAGGGGGCTAACGGTACCCCAGTGGTATTCTTTGTCGGGAAGCGGAGGTCCCAGGCATCGTGTACAGGCAGCTTCCTACATGTGATCCCCGCTGTCACCCTTCCCTCCAGGCACGCAGCCTCCTCGGTCCTTCCCCCCCTCCCCCGTAACCCCTTGGACACATGGCTCTGGCTGTACCCCGCCCCTCAAGATGCAAAGTCTCCCTGGCCTGGCCTGGTCCTTAGGGGCCCATGGCAGCTGCTGTGGACACAGAAGAGCCCCTGCTGTTTCTCTGCTTACCTCCACTGACAGCCGCAGTTGTTGCCAGGTAGGCAGCAGCACTAAGATGTCCCTGAGCTGGGAGCTCATCTCAGGGTCCCTGGTATTGGTCTCTGTTGGGAAGTGCACACGGGACTCTCTCTCAGAACCAGGCTTTGCTACTGCTCCCTGCAGAGCACCGTGAACTAGGGCAGTCCTGAGCCTCCCACTCGGGCGGACCAATATGCCCCTTCTCCCATGTCCTCCCTGGCCGCCACTGCAGGCGGGCGGACGTTATCACCTCCCATTGGTGACTGTGCTGTCTGTGCTGGCCTTGCCCAGGCCCTGCCTGGGAGAGACTTGGAACTCAGTGGCTGAGCAGGGACAAAGGTTGGGGCCATAAGGCTGGGTGTGTGGAGGCCGCTGGAATGCAGGCCAGCCACAGCGCTCTCGGGCAGGATGCAATGCCAGGAGCGCTGTGTGCCCCGACGGGAGGTGATGGGACCCTGACTCCCATGAGATGCTCCTTCAGCTCCTCAGACGGTGGCAAGGCCACACAGGGGCCAGAACCATGACATCCCTCCCCTCTGCAGCAGGTGGTCGAGTCCAAGGAGTAGGCCACGAAGCTCACAGTGATGGGCACCTAAGAGGTCACAGCTGCGTGGCTGAGCAAGACATCTGCCACCAGCCAGGATGAGAAGACACCTGGGAACTGTAAGGATCAGCCCTGAGCAGGTCATTCGCATACAGAGGTCTTCCCATACAGCATTAGAAAAAGTCCTGCTACGGAATCCAAGAGAAGCAGTGTGACGCCCAGCAGGATCTGAAGAGGCAGGGGCCAGTGCCAGGTCATCTTCCCGGCTACACCATGTCATACATACATACCTGATGAGGAAGTGGCCAGCTCACTTCGCCATCGGGTAAGCTCAGCGTCCGTTGCACTGAACTGGTGGGAAACATCCCCAGGGCACAGATCCAGGCTCTCAACACTACACAGCTGTGTCCCCAGAACCCATTTATTGTCTGAACAGGACTCACCCCAGAGGCAGGCATCGGTTCCAATATGGCAGCGAAGTATGGCTGGCTACTCTTCCAACTGTATCTGTAGCCAGGAGGGAAGCATCGGCAGCCCCTGCACCGCGTACAGCACCCACGGATCTGGAGAGGGTAGCAGGAGTCATCCTGGAGCCTGGCAGAATGCTAGTCAGTAGTCATGGGTCCTGTGGCTGATGCTTTACAGGTAACACTTAGCAAAATGGGTTGCAAACATCTCCTGATTCACGTTATTACTGATAAATGCGACAGATTTTTCTAAAACTAAGTCTCTGGTGGCTCATAACCCAGTGCTCACAGGCTTTCCAGTACCAATGGAGGGCCATAGCAGCATGCCTGGGAAGTAACAGTTCACAAAGACTACATCAGGTCCTAAAGAAGCCCCTTATCTCCCAGCCAGGCAGCTGTGACGCTCCATGGCTACGGACCCCAGTCAACCTGGTTACCCTGGACAACAACACCCTGAAGACCACAGTCAGGGACCATAGACTTCTGCCTCTGCAAAAGGCAGCAGCTTTCTGTCTCTATAAAAACAGAAATGTGACTGGGACCCAAGTGAGCACCACTCCTCGGCATCACCTCTCAGTCTCTGTGGGCATTTGGTTCTGGGGCCCCAGGGAGTTAAGATCCACAGATGCTCAGGTCCATTACCTGAAATCATAGCTCGCCTGTGATGTACCCTGCTCCCATGAATTTCCCTCTGGGTGGCTTGTTAACGTACACACTATGAACATACTTTTTGTGCTGCACATTTGGGGGGAATTAACGAGGAAAAAGTGTGTGTGTGTGTGTGTGTGTGTGTGTGTGTGTGTGTGTGTGTATGTTCAGGGCATGTAGTATTTCTCTCCCATTATTTCTGCACATGCATAGATGTACATGTGTGGGGATGTTGCAGTACTGATTGATGTGTGTATGTAGGGTGGATCATGCATGTATGTGTATGTGTTTGTGTGTGGGGAAGTTAGAGGGTACCTTCTGTTACTCTCCACCTCTTTTTGTGAGATAAGGTCTCTTTGCTGAACCCAGAGCTCATATATTCAGCTAGATCGCTTTGCCAGCAAGCTCGAGGCTTGTCTTCATCCCCAACCCCAGTGCTGGGATAATGGGCACATGTTGCTCCTGGATGTTTATGTAAGTCTTTGTGTTTGAGTATCAAGCTCTTTACAGACTGAGCCATTCAGCTCCGTTCACGGATCTGCAGCTGTAATGTCTAGAAATGTAGGCGTCAACCCCAAGTGTCATATTCTGGTTTAGGTTGATCAAGGTGGAGGTGCTTGTCTGACTCGGGCTGTGATTTTCCACTGTGTGGGAGCACAAGGAAGGAATGAGGCTAACCTTCCGCCTAACCTTCCCATGTCCTTAGATGAGCCCGCTGAGAACATTCCAGAACTAAAGCTTTGGAGACAAACATCTAAAACAGACAGTTGTCAAAATGGGAGGAGCCTTCACCAATAAAGAGCAACAAAGTACTAACAAGGTGAAAACAGAAACTCTGTGTGTGTGTGTGTGTGTGTGTGTGTGTGTGTTTGTGTGTGTTGCCTGCTGAAGAAGTCCGGACAAGGTGAGGTCCCTGGAAAGAAATGTGGCTGCCTGTGGAGGGGACCGAAGTGCGCAGGCTCAGTGGCACCTGCTGTATGAGGTGGTGGCACAACTCCTAAACTTACTAACATTTCAAAGGAAAGTGACCTCACATTGTGTAAATTATACCCCACAAAGTGAATGAAACACAGATAAGCTCTAGAGCGGTGAACTAACACAGCCTGACCCCCCATCTGCGCCTTTGCGTCTGCGCGCACACGTGTCTGCCTGTGAACGCCCGAGCGAGCACGCGCTAATTGAGAATGTACACACATGCGCCCTGGGCCTCTCTAGCCTCTTGGAGGCCCTGCAGCGCTCAGGCGGCTTCACCCAGTACAAGAGTGGCTCCCATGAGGGGCCTAAGCATCTCATCCAAAGGAAGAGCGAGCGTTCGTAGGGGTCATTCATTGTCAGTGCCACGATGCGCGTCTTATCTCCTACTATAGTCACATCACAAAGCCTGACACCCAGGGTGGAGGGAGCTTCCTCAGGCTTAAGCCTGCCATCCCTCAAGCGTGGGCTACCCCCCTCCTCCTAAATGCTTTTAGTGGCAGGTGCCCGGTCAAGATATGGACCGGGTTTGGGATGGCTCGTGGTGTCTGTGGATTGAGTTGACTTGTATGTGGGACACAGCACCAGGGACCCTTGGAGATCCCGCCCCACTGCCTCTGTGTTTGTTCCCGTAGAGAATACACTTTTGGGCCATGCTCTCGAGCAGGGGCCAGAGGCGTTTGAAGCGGGAACCTTTCCAAGTTCTATCCAGGAATGCCATGCATCACCCGGGTGCGCTTGAACTGGTCATCGGAGCATAGGCACAGAGGGCCAGCTTAGGGGCCTGAGTGCCTGCAGAAGGGCTCTACACGCTTCCTGCGTCTCCACAGGCTGCTTCCCTCCACACCCAGTGCACTCCGATAGTTCCAACAATCCTTCAAGCGATGGAGAAAAGCCCTCTGCAGGGAAAGCCCAGAGTTGGGGCAGGAAAAGTCCGGCCTACTCTTGATTGCTTGAGCCCTGGAGCCTCAAAAACCACTTTTGCCAGATCTCCTGGCTTGGACACAGGACCCTGGGATGCACCAGGTTAGTTCTGTGTACCATTCCCCGATGTGGCTGGCTTTCTAATCACGTGTAAAGAAGCCAGGGTTGAGGGAGGAATGCAAGCTGGAAAGCATGGAGATGCTCATTCCAGCTTGGCAACAGGCACACCCTCCCTAAGCCATTCAGTGCCCTCTCCAGCTCTGGACTTTGTCGGCTCAGAGAACAGATTCTTTGCATTCTCTGCATCCAGTTACGAGTGAAAACATTCCTTGCACTGAGCCAAAACTGCTATGCTCTCCAAACAGGAGAAACAACAAACACATCTTGAGCCAATAACCCTTGACTCCGATGGCCGGACAGTAGAGCTGCAGGAGCTTACAGGTAGACAGACCCCTCTGAGCTACCCCACATGCTTTCAACCCTGTCAAACTTCAGTTTTCAGACAAGATCAGGTATGTCGAATAGTGTGGCCACAGACCATTCTTGCAAATACACATGCTGTCTAAACAGTTATCCACCCGCGCACCTAACTGGTGGAATTAGCAGAGGGTGAGACTCAAACTAGAAATAAAGAGATAGCATCAGCACCATCAAATACCAGCCGAAGCAGAGTCCAAGTTGGGAGAGTTGAAGCTGACATGGGGACCCAAGGAAGATGAAGCTGGGCTCCCTCTGTGTTCGATGAGGAGGGCACCAAGGTGGCTTACACACAAGGGCTAACACTGAACCGTGGTCAGTGGCTGTGAGTCCACGAAACTCAGAAACAGACTGGGGAGAGCTGGCCCCTGGCTCCTGGAGCTGGAAAGTCAGGCCACAGTCGCTCAGAAACTACCACTAGCACACTCCACACACCTCCATGATGCAAAGGTTCCTCTGATGCCAACTTTAACGACACCCCCTAGAGATGGACATCTCTGGGCAGGGCGTGGTTTGGCTTTCCACCTGCTTGACCGCTCTGACTGTTAACTTTTCTGACTGTTCAGGGTGAGTTTTGTTAGTGCCTTCAGGGGTACCCAGCATGCACAGCAGAGATCATATAGATGGATGTTTGGCTTGGAGGACAACGCTGTGCAATGCCAGTTGTGAAGGCCAACCCCACCCAGACAACAGAGGTTCCACCCAAGAGAGGCAGGACATCTAGTGGGCATAATTTCATGTGTTGTGGGACACCAGAGGCACCTTGAGGAGGACCCAGGAGTCTTCCCCCAAACACTATGGCTTCCTGGCAAGACTAGGCTCATGATGGTTTAGTGAAGACACAATCATCTCTCATAGTCTGGGAGCAGGAGCTTCAGGTCTAGTGTTGGCAGACTGGTTCTGGGAGGTGGGGGTGGGAGGGTTGCCCACGCCTCATTTAGCTTCTGTGGCTCACTGGTGGTCCCCATTCATGGCACCCAGGGCTCTGCCCCCACACAAAGTCCCTTCACGTACAAATGGCTCCCATC